AGGCTTCGGAGTCTCTCTACTTTGCTAACTGATTGTTCGTATCGACTTTCCAATGTATTCAACGGATCATTATGCAGAGGATTGCTTCTGTTGTATTTGAAACATCGAGGGCAACCGTGAAAATAGCATCCTTGGAATTCAAACACTTGATTTGTGTCGCTACAAAAACCGTCTACTTTATGTCCCTTAACAATGGTTTCTATACCCTTAGCGGCGTGTTGAATTTTGATTCCTCTTTGATGTTCCTCCCACAACAGCCATTGGATGGCAATTTTTGACTGATTTTCACGCCATCTATAGCCCCCTTTGGAATTACCCCGATCGTCTCAGGTTTTAAAAAATTGCGTCTAAAGACTTTGTTACAGCATGATGCAATAGTGGTGCTTTCCTGGAAGGGATCGACTGTGGTTTCGGTTTTCATCAGGTCTCGAAATTTGAGACACGCCTGTGTCAATATTTCCACATCGGAGATACAGTATTCAACGATTTCTTTCTGAAAATCAAAAACGTATCCCTCCGCTTGTCTTTCGCCATGCCATTTTAATAATTTTCCCGAGCGTCTTCCTTTAAATGGTCGGGATCGTAGAAGTCGAGCGCTGGAATTGGCCCTACATAATTCTGATGAGCCAAAGTGTTGAATAAATGTGAAAGTATCCTTTCTTTAGCTCTTTCAAATCAAACGCCTTGGGTAGAGCAGTTAGAGGCATAGGAAATAATTGAGAGAATCCAGAAATTTTACATTTCCTACCTCCATCAATATTAATTTTGTTCCTCTCATAATTACATTCGGGTACAGACTAGTCTTCTCTAAAATGTAACGAAGTAGAAACTGATGATCAAATCCTCCACCATTATGCGCCAGTACAATGACTTTCTTGAATTTTTTACGAAGTGTCAGAATATGATGCATAAATGGAGAAATGACGTCTTGACATCGAAGAATCTGTAATCGAAGGCCACATTTCTTGCATATAGGATTATCGGTACATGATTCACAACATTGTTTGAATACACATAGATTTGGCTCATGCAGTAAAGATCCATTGGGTAATTCCTTCTCCTGACGGGTTTCCAAATCGTAAAATATTAATAAGACATCATTTGATTTAGGAATACTTCTGTCAGGCTGTATATAGCACATATGTTCAATTGGTTGATTTTTATAACATGTTTTACAAAGTATATATCCGCAGATGTGATCATTACCGTTGTGAACTTTAAAACAGTCTACACATCTTTTAATTTTAGAACAGACCGATGGTAAATGAGCGTTAAAACATTCTTGTCCATAAAAGCTTCTATTACATTCTTTGCATTTGATGTGCTTCGTTTCAGGCAGGCCGGAGATCTTTTACAAGCATAACATTGTTTATCACATCTATGAATTTGTTTAGTATTATACGGAATGTGGCAGTTCTCACAAAAAAAACTGCAGCAAAAGGCAGCAGTGAGGGATGTTATGACGCTGTAGTGCCCCTCGTGATATATTAGGTTAAGCGTCGGACCAGCGGACACGCCTTCAAAAATGACGTCACGACCTTTGCACCCAAACTTGTATACAACAATTTTGTAGTTTTGCAGATATCGTTGTAGCTTTTGAAGTTCAGGTATTCCACACCCCTCCTCAGGGATAACAATATCAGCCTTTTCCACAAGTTGTACAGCTCTTTGTCCTTGTATTTTTCCTCGATCACGGCGGATTCTGCTATAATCTTTGTCTTTGTTCAAATGGGCCATGGCGATGACAAGGGCTCGTGGGAGACACAAATTATCGGTGTTTTTAACGGTGATAATGCCTTTTCTTTTGGCGCATTCCTCATCAAAGGTATTGAAATTCTGAGCTCTACCACGACCAGCAGGCAACCTTACGGACGTAATACCCAAGCAAAAAGTCTCGGTATTCAACCCCACAGAATTTGACTGATAGATGGAAGATATCTTCTCCCATATGTCCTCAGTTGAAACGTCGGAAAACAATTTAAAAGCTATCCATCCTTGACCGCGGGTAAAGTCTTTGGAACAGAAAGTGAATCCAACTTGATCACTGGGCTGGAGATGTTCAGTTCCTTTGGCTACTATTTCCTCCAGAGCGTCTTTGATCCATCCCACAGGTTCGACGTCTTTAGGGATAGGTCGTATTTTAAATTCCACTTCTCGCCCATATAGATTAAATTTTTTAATCTTCTTAGTAGAATCCTTAACGATGAAGAATTTTTCCATTTTTTAAAAACTAAAACGTTAACTAGCGAATAAATCTGAACTGAGCACGTCTGTTCGCTGCAGATAACTGACAAGATAATTTTTTTTTTTTTTTTTTTTTTTTTTTTTTTTTTTTTTTTATAACGAGGGGGGAATGCATTTACGCACCATACCATAGCACGAGCTACGACGTGTGTGGGGCTCCAGGGTCTTGAAGAGATCACCTAATACCCACTAAACCCTAAACCTCCGCGTGGCCCGACTCATCAGCGTCTCGGTAGGCCATGTGTTGTGCGTGACCTGCGGTCTGCTACAACGTCTCCTCATGTGTTTCAGTCTCTGGGAACGCCGGGTTGGTTCCCTTTACCTCGCACATTCTATCGATGTCGTTAAGCGATCATCGATAGAGGGTCTGCTAGTTTCTCTTGAAACTCTTGTTTTCGAAAAATCAAGAGTTTCAAGTCATCTTACCAATATGTTGTTCCTGGTCCTGGTCCTGAAGGGTCCTGGTCCTGGTGGGTCCTGGTCGTGGCGGGTCCTGGTCCTGGTTGGTCCTGGTCCCGGTGGGTCCTGGTCCCGGTGGTTCCTGGTCCTCTGCATCCACGCCGTGGGGTGAGGGGGGGGGAGCAGCCGCAGTTCTCCTAGTCTCCTAGTCAAGGTTCCAGTTAGCGGGTGCCAACTGGGACCTTGGTCTGGGGTACCTGGTTCTGCGGTTGCGAGGCCTCTCGTCCGGATCGTAGTCCATGAGGAATCGTAGCTGCTCGTTCGGGTGGTCCTGAGCTTTCTCGAAGGTCTTCTCCGCTTTTTTCCTCATGTACTCGTGGATGGTATCCCAATGCAGGTCTCTACGCAAGGTTGAGTTCCTTACGTAGGAAGGTGCATTGGTGGCGATCCGGAGTAGCTTCATCTCTAGAGCAGCAAGTCGCTTGCGGTAGCTGGGGGCAGCGTACCCCCAGACCGCGGAGGCGTAAGCGAGCTGAGGTCTGGCGATGGCCTTGATCAGCCGTAGCTTGGTCGCTAGCGGCATCTGGCTGTGTCTACCCAGTAATGGATAGAGTTGAGCCATGGCTGCTCTGGTTTTTGCGATGACAGCTTCTATGTGCGCTTTCCAGGTGAGGGACTTGTCAAAAACGATCCCCAGATATTTGACATTGTCGCTCCACTGGATATCTTCATCGAAGATGGATGCTTCGAGAGGTCTTGCAATCCTTCTTCGTTGAATGAAGATTGCCTGCGTCTTCTGGAAAGATAATTTGCGGTGATTCATAGGTATTTATAATCTCGATTTTACCCCCACCACTTTTTAACTGACCACAGTGTTTCAAGGTCACCGCTGTTATCGTTGGTCAGTATTAACTCGTTGACAGCCTGCGCTTCCTGCCCATTCACCCATGCTTAACAGCTCCGCCCGGTACTTCTTGCATATCACCGCTACGACAACACCTGCCCTGAACCTAACCTCATTTGCGACGTAGGTGATTGCCTTGTTGAATTTATTAGATACACAATATAGACTGTACTATGTTTTCAATATTGTATCAATGTTAAAAATTAACTAACATTAACTGTATGCACCACATATATGAGCAATTCCATTTTATATGCACACTGAATATGACGTGTTGATTATTGAGATCATCCTATACGCATTGTTTCCCGCGAATTTTATACGTTTTTCCATTTAAACTGAATCCGCAGAATTGCATCTATAAATATCATTATTCATGGGCTTTTATCGATCTATATGCAGATATTTACCGCAAAACATGAAATGAGTCACATCGCTTACGCATAGACGTTATACTACACCTTACTATCGTCGGCTGTCTGAATCACTTCCGGTCGGGTGCGCCATCTAACGGGGCCCGCCAATCAACATATACCATCAACCCGTTCAAACTTCCCGCCGTCTGATCCACCAATCAGAGCACGCGGTGGATCTAGCGGTTCCCGCCAATCAACATATACCATCAACCCCGTTCAAATTTCCCGCCGTTTGATCCGCCAATCAGAGCACGCGGTGGATGTGGTGGGCGTGGCCAAAAAGTGGAAGTGGTGGGGGGCGCCCAGAGTGCACCAGTATCTACTCACAAACATTTGCAACCATTTCTACTTTTTGCTCATGCCTTTGCCGGCTGCGACACTACTAGCTGCTTTTTTGGGAAAGGAAAGATGAAGCTGGTGAAGTTGCTGCTGCAGAACAACAGCATTAGAGCGCTGCGCTGAAGTTTTACGAGCCGGACTGCTTGGAAGACGAATTGCTGCAATGTGCAGAGACGATTACTCTCGCACTATACAAAGACAAAGAACAGTCTTCCTCTCTCGGGACTTTCAGATACAATTTGTTTTCTACAAACTTAGCAAAGGCAAAAAAGGAAACGCCCCTAGAATGTCTCCCACCAACATCTCCTGCCTTGCTTCAGCACTGTAAACGAGTGTACTATCAAATCCAGGTGTGGCTTCAGCATAGATTAGATCCCTGCTTGTGGGGATGGACAAGACAGGGTAATATTCTCATTCCGATCATGTCTGAAGCAGATCCCGCACCAAAACAACTGTTACAAGAGGCATGTGTGAAATGTATTCAATTTGAAGCAATAAATACAACTTGCTACAACTAATTTTTACTACACTTTTGATCTCCTGTACTGTCTGACCGGAATTAAAATAATTTTTGAACAATGTGAGATCCAGTTTCAAGTCAAAATAACAAATTTTTAGACTGATCTATGGAGCACTATAAAAGGCCTGTCATTGATTTCCCTTACAAGACAACTGATACTTAGATTATAATAATTCTTATGATAACCTTTTTTCAGGTTTCCTGTGGATGCCAAGGGCCCTGCAAATCGAAGCGATGTAACTGCCGAAAAGCCGGTCTAAAGTGCAACCCTGCTTGCAAAGTATGCCGCGGAAAATCGTGCAACAACTCAAAGAGATGGACTGCTACAGAACACCATGATAGCGAAACTCCGACTACTACAGATGCATGTGAGGAGGACGGTGGACAAACTACCGTAGAGCCTGATAATGATGACTTAACAGAAGATGATGAGACCTCATCAAGCGGCCACAATGCAACGACCGATGACGAGGAAATTAACGAAGGACTTTAATGACTTTGACCTTCAATGATTTATCCTACTTGTAACAGATTGGGGTGGATATAACATTGAACTGTATATACTTTCAATTCCTCTTACATGCTATTGTAGGTTTCATTGTCTCAAGTAAGGGTTTTTGTACAACTATATGTGTGAAATGTAAAGTAACAAATGTAAAACAAACATATTTGAACACAAAAATAATTTGTTATACTCTATCAAAATAGAAAATATAAAAAATTGATGGAACTTCCAATTAATGATTTGTACATAATTTCTTATCTCGATTAAAATATAATGGAGTAATGTTTTTTCCACAGCGAGTGTGCAGAGAAGATATCGTCAAATACTCATCACCATCGGCCATTGTCTATTCTTTACATATTTGCGTTGGCGTAGGTCAGACCAACGTATAGACGCGGCTCAAAAACTGCTAAATCTCATATCATGATCGTAGATTAACAACTACCGGTGATCAAACTGATTTGCGAGGATAACTATGAAAATAACGTGGAGCCTCGAAAGCGAGTCTTTTGATGACTCATTGGGCTTCTACATCCTGTAATGTATTCTTATCATTGCCACTCATTTATATACACGTTCACACCTTTTTTGCAGCTGTAGGTTTTTTATTGTTGTTCCAATTCTAAATGAAAATATTATACCTCACTTATCCAGTCAATCGGTAAGCGGCTGAAGAAAAATTACTGCATCTTGTACTCTAAACGCAGAAATTTCAAAAATTCATTAATATGCATAAGTCGGTGAACGCCACAACTACAAACGAGCTTATTATTCGAAATCGACTGGCCTATCACTGAGAGAGAGACACTGAGGACGTCCAAAATAAAAGAGGATCGTTCCGCTTCAATGGTGCGGCGTCTGGCAACAGGTGTACACGCGTCCCTTTCCCCGCAAACCCCCTCGCTCTAAGCCATCAGCAAGCTGTAGCGCGAAAACTAAGCAATTTAGCGAAAAATTTGTAGAGACCTTTATAATTCGTTGGAATAATCCTTTAAAGGTATGAGCTTAGCAAGTTTTCGGAAGCATGTACATACTATCCTTATCACATTCATCATCCAGTCAGACTTTTTATTTTTTACGTTGAGATGGTAATATTATTCTTAAGCGCATCATATATATATACAGGGTTATCCTAATTAAGTGTCCACCATTAGTAACTTTGTTATTAGTGAAAAGACAAAGTTGTTTGAATTAGCAAACTAGTAGCATTTTTAACGCTGGTAAAAATGAGAAATGAAAAAAAACAATTGAGAGTCGTTATTTTGATTTTTTCAGTAAAATAACATTTTTTTAAATGGAAACCCCTGTATATTATATTTTTTTCTGTTAAAGCATCAAATTTTAAACAAAAAAGCTTACAATAACTTTTCTCCTAGGTTACAAATTGTTGAAGTTATGGCCTCCAATCTGAAACAATTAAATTGTATCGACAAACTTTATTTTCAACATCAACTTATAATCTTACAAAATACAATAACAATTTTTTTTAAAGGAGATGCGCGAAAACACCACCTTGTTCTTCAATACATTTTTGGGCACGTTTTTCAACTGCTCGAACTGTCTTAAGTATGGTCCTACCATCTATCTGGGTTATCTTTTCCCTAACTGCAGTCTTTAACGCGTCAAGGTTATCGTACCTTCGCTTGTAAATTTGGTTCTTTAAGTAACCCCACAAGAAGTAATCAAGTGGGTTTAGATCTGGTGATCTGGGAGGCCACTGTATTGGGCCATTTGTTCCTATCCACTGATCATTAAAAGTAGTACTTAGAAAATGATAAGTACCTCTGGAGTTGTGGGCAGGTGCGCCATCTTGCTGAAAATGCAGATGATGTCTACTTATAAGATCCAATTCGTCTAAGAAATTAGTCAGAATTTCTGACATAAATTCCACATATCTTCCACCAGTTCCCTCATAAAAGAACGGGCCAACAATTTTTGAACCAATTATACCGCACCAAACGTTGAAACTGAAACGGACTTGTGGGCCTCTTGGATGTACTAACAAAAGATTTTCTCTTGACCAATAGTGGTGGTTTTTTCTATTAAACATTCCAGAATTTGAAAAATTTGATTCATCTGTCCATAAAAGGTAACGAAAGTTATTTACATTTTGGCGACAGAAGCTAAGATACCAATGGCAAAAAACAAGTCTTCTCTCTGGATCCCCTGCCAAAAGCGTTTGAACTGGTCGGTACTTATACGGAATAAATTTGTATTTTTTTAAAATCCTTTGAACAGTACCATAACTGAAATTAGAGTCCTTGAGAATATCTGCTATTGAATTCTCACGATAAGCTTCAAAATATCCAATAACTGCAATTTCCGTGGCCTCGCTTATTATGAATTCTTTTTTTGCCCTTGTTTTAGCAAAAACATTTTCGTTGCCCCTAAATTTTCGATAAAGTCTCAGAAAATATCGTTCATACGGTTGGAATGCGAGCGGGATATTAATTCACGTAGTAGGAGGATTTCTCTCTGCACCACTAAATAGCATTCTAACATATCACACTTTTCTTCATGGAGAGAACATTTTTCTTTAAATTAATGACCCAAAAAGCTTATAAACAAGTATTACCACTAATGTTTGACATTATTGATTTTATCATTGTTTCACAAAGCCGTCTAGTTGCGGAGTATGTCCCAGTTTAACAATTTGTCGCCTTATCTTAAGCTGTCAATCTGCGAACGCATGTGTTTTCATAGCCGTCTTAATATTATAATACTGCAAATAATTAAAAATATTTATCGTTATTTTGACTTTATTTTGACTTTAGCGGAAAAGTCATTATTTTGTTTATTATTATTATTATTTGTTTTTAAAATTGATGCTTTAACAGAAAAAAATATAATATACAGGGTTTCCATTTTAAAAAAATGTTATTTTACTGAAAAAAATCAAAATAACGACTCTCAATTGTTTTTTTTTTTATTTCTCATTTTACCAGCGTTAAAAATGCTACTAGTTGCTAATTCAACCAACTTTGTATTTTCACTAATAACAAAGTTACTAATGGTGGACACTTAATTTGGATAACCCTGTATATATATATATATATATTATTTAACATCAGTGTATTATTGATTCAGCTGGTTAGGTGACCGAGTAGAATTGCTGCCTTGAGATCTTCAAGGATGCCTATTCTCACGATATGTCAGATGTCTATCTTCACTGATGAGTTTGCGCACAGCATCGACGTTTTCCTGGGTGACTGCCGTTTTTGGTGCACCCACCCTAGGATGGTCGCTAAGACTCACCCGTCCACGTTTGGATTCTCCATACCAACGGGAAAGTGTCGACCTGATGTGGCGCTTCGTTGTCGAAACAGACAGTAACTCAGCAAAGCATTCTTGTTGCGCTAATTGTCTCTGAAAGTTGTAATAACATTCTAGCGTGAAAATGTTCTCGGTCGAGTTCCATTTTTCTAATGACTTGGTGACCGCTCAAAAATACACTGTAGTGAGAACACTGCGTATTGTTGTGAAACTTTGAATTTAAGATTTACTAAAGAGTGATTCAGTACTGACGTTCGATCCGCGCGGCCTACTATGTCTCTGTATGCAAAACTTAAAAGACGTGCCTCGCACTTGTTGCCGTTGTTATTATTGTGTACTGTTAAAATTGCTTTATTATCGTCAGAAATGCCAGGCGATTCACTTTAGCAATGAAGAAAGTTCTACATACTGCGTGCTAGATTTTGTGCTACAAAAATGCTAAAATGCTGCAGAAAATGTGTTGATACATTTCCATAAAGAAGACAGCCAAGGAAATTGATTTTCTCAGAGTTGGCTCGAATTTTTAATTTGATTTATTCAAAACGCCTATTGTGTCTCGAAGAAAGAATCTTTATAAGAAATTCAGAATAGTGTTTTACGAGCAGTAGCTGACAACTCTGAGATATCACTTAGGAAAATTGAGAAAAATATAGGAGTCCCAAATCCTCAGTTCAACCTAATATGCGTAAAATAGATATCATCACGATAAATACAGAGACTCTCTGGATAATTTACCATTGGCACAAGTTAATAGCTGTTGATTTCAACAACACAGTGTTCCTGCACGTAAGTCTAGGCAAAATCGAGAGTACCTCCAGGAAGGTGAATTGTCCTGGCCAGCCCGTTCCCCGGATTAGACTTCTCTGGACTTGTTGCTTGGAGTTTTATTAAAAACCAAGTCTATCAGCATACCTTTGACGCTGAGCGGGAGTGACGAGGATGAGTAATGGAAGCGGTAAGGGCCGTATCGTCACTCGTTCCTACAATTGTCGGACGCCTTTATGACCTCCTGATTTTCATAATATTTTCTCTTCTTCAGAACGGCTTGGGTATTTCTAGATTTCTACTGCTTTGCTCGTTCTCTTTGAATTGTAGGAAATTGATATAACAGATGATACAAATCAAAGGCAATACAAAATGTGTACAAACCAGGTATTTGTTACATAACCTCCAAATAGAGCCCTAACACGGAACAGCAGGAAACTATAGAAATCATGGAGGCTATAAGAGCATCCTACAATTGGACGCAATAATATTTATTTTTTGAGTTGTTGGATGAGTCAAATACAAACAACAAGTACAAGCTCTCAATAATAGCGATAACTAAGGCCCGTATCGTCAGTCGTCCCTACAATTGTAGGGCGCCTTTATGGCCTCCTTGATTGTCATAGTTTTCCACTTCTCCGTGTCAGAACTCTATTTTGAGGTTATGTCACAAACATCTATTGCATCAAATTGTGCTTGCTTTTGAGTTATATCATGTTTTATCAGCCTGAAATTTCCTATAAGTTAAAAAGAAAATATATCTTCACAATAGGAGAGCACTCACGCTGACACGGGACAAGTGTAATCTAGAAATTTTTGAAGGAGAAGAAGAAGTATGACAATCAAGGAGGCCATAAACGCGCCCTACAATTGTAGAGGACCACTAACGATACGGGCCTAAGCTAAGCTCCGAAAAATCGTACACAACCGGATAAGAGTATACATAGGTTGTTCATTTGGAAACTTCCCCTCACGGCTTTATAATAGTAATAATAATAATAAATGGGTTTTATTGCTAAGATAAGCTCACAAAGAAGATACATAGAAATTCTAGCTGCTTTTCTGACAAACGACAGAATTCGGCTTTTACTGTCGTATAGAAAGATCCGCTCTTCCATTCAACCAAAAAAAAAATACAATAACTGTTCGCCTACACCTGACCGTGATCCAAGAAACTTCACACAAAGAGAGTTGAAGGAAATCAGAAATGAAAAGCTGTTGTGTACACAGAAAAACGAGTTAAATTTTGTATGCTTCATATTGTACAGTCATCAGCCAATAGAAAACGCTTCATTGTTTTTTAAATATACTAAGTGACATATAATCCGAACACCCAGTTTAAATGGTTTTATTTTTAATAAAAGTTGGTGAATGTATTTATCTTACTGTAAATAACAAGTGAAAAAATTTTCAGCCTTATCAGTTGGACATTCCGGTTTTTATACTGCTTTTTTTTTAATTCACTAACGCTCTAAAAATGAATATTTCAGCCGCAGTAAAGAATCAACGTTGGCGATTTTGGTTCATGCCATCCTTTACGATCGGTTACGATGCCTAGAGTACGGAGACCTGTACGCTTTCGTCAACTTAGTGAGTTTGATAGGGGCCGTATAGTGGGACTTCGGAAAGCTGGACTTTCTTTTTTTAAAGTGCAAAGAAGTGTAGATACTGTGGTTAGGTGTTGTCAGGCATGGCTTCGAGAAGGCCGTACGCAAAGAGCGAGGGGCGCTGGATGCCGCCGTAGAACAACAGACCGTGAAGAATCGCCGCCTAAGATTATTGGCCTTAGGGACCGTTTCTCCACTACCAGGTCCATTGCAAATGAATGGTTTGCAGAACACGGAAGACCTATTGGCATGCGAAGTGTTTACCGACGAATGAGAAGTTTTGGCTTATTTCATACCGGCCACACTGGGTCCTCCCTTTAACTCGAGAACACCGACGTAATCGCCTTGAGTCGTGCAGACAACGGTCACTCTGGGATCAGGAATGGAACAGTATTGTCTTTAGTGGACGAGGTCTCGATTTTGTTTAGGCATGCACGATGGTTGTGCCAGGGTTAGAAGGCGACGTGGTGAAAGGAGGAATCCACAGTTTTTTGTTGAAGGACATGTTCATCACACTGTTGGAGTTATGGCTTGGGGTGCTATAGCTTATGGTTCCAGGTCACCTTAATCTTCATCAGAGGTAACATGAACGCGCAGCGTTATATCCACGAAGTTCTAGAACCCCATCTTTTACCCTATCTTGACACCCTGGGCAGACCCAACTTTCCAACAAGATAATGCCCGACCACATGTTGCAAGAGTCACAATAGACTTCTTTCAACATAATGATGTCACATTGTTACCATGGCCATCAAGATCTCCCGACTTATCCCCAATTGAGCACATGTGGAATATGATGGGTAGGAGATTGCTCAATTTGCAACGTCCTCCTCAGACTCTAGAAGCACTTCGAGAGGAGTTGGTGGTTGCCTAGAATGAGATACCACAGGAGGACATTGACCACCTGATCAGAAGCATGCCTAGGCGCGTGGAAAATGCGTAGCACATCAGGGTGCATCCACACATTATTAAAGGTCAAAGGGCTTTAAAGCAGTGCAATCATTTTGAAATGTTTATCATTTACTTATTATGCTTCATTAAGTACTTATACAAAATTTTATTAAAATAAAACCATTTAAACTGGGTGTCCGGATTTATATGTCACTTAGTATAAATTCATAGACAAACTCCTGTATGCAATCGGTACCTTTGATACAGCCGTGCGATATTGTAAGAAAAAGAATGTTTAAAAAGCGATGTACGGAATCTAGGAGCAGAAACTAAATGTCCGTAACGCAGGCTGAGTGTGTGGACGTCTGTTCTGCAACGAATTTTGTTATACAGATAACGGCCCGTTCACACATGCTCTCCGTTTTATCAGATACGTTTTTTTTCGTCGGTGGCGTATATAGTTGTATGAGCGACTTCACACATGGTACAGTATACTGTATACAGTAAAAAATACTGTTCCGTTAAAATAGACATTCCGTTTTGTCATCGAAACAGTAAAAATATACGGATACGTAGAATTTCAACGGATAGATTACTGTGTGCGTGGCGGGCGGTGTGTGCGGGTGTAGGAGGGGAGTGATACGACAGGTTTTGAGTCGCATTTTCTATTTACATTCATAGAGAACGCGCGCGTGCATTGTGTGTAATAAGTATTATTAATCACTGATCAACCAAGTCAACCAAGGGGTGGGAAAAGTTAATAGACAAGGAAATTTTAGTTACTTTGGTGGAAGATAGGCCAGTCCTTTGGGACACGACGCTGGATAAATACAAAGACAATACTGCAAGTATTGCAGGTTGGCGCGAAATATGCGTTATTCTAATGGAGGATTTTGAGGCTATGGAACAAAGACAAAGACAAGAGTTCGGTAAGTGTCTGTTTTATTATTCAATTACATTCTAAATAGCTTCATCCTGCCATGGAACTGATCCAGCTTCGGACATGAAATAGTTCACGAATTCGCGTTCGAACTAAATTGGCAGTATCTACCACCTCGTTGTACTTACTTCATGGGGTTAGGTCTCCGTAACTAAATCTTGAGATACGTTATTATCATTGTTTTGAACCCTCTTTGTCCCTTATAAAGTTGTGTGTAGTGTAATAGTACATGCCTAACAGTCCATACGCTATGTTTTATCGATGTCTAGAGGCCGATGGATATTCTCCACTTATTAGCTAAGATACGAATACAAATTCAAAGTATCTCCTAGCTTAGTCAAACGATAGTGAATATTCGCTTAGTAAATTTTTTGTGTAATCGAAACCTTTGTCTTCAATGACCACATAAGGCGCTCTCGTTTCTGAGTCTCCTGTTAATGGGCATTGTGCAGGTATTTGAAGACTGCCATCTAAGCATCATTTTCCAAAATGTTGTCTCCTTGAATACTGATGAATCGCATTCTTTCCATAAGATCCGACAATGACATATACAAAGCGATAGTCGGAGTCTACGATAGCTAATAATATGATGGAAAAAAATCCTTTGTAATTGATATACAGTGAACCGCTATTTGGTGGTTTGTTAAGTCGGATATGTTTTCCGTCGACAGCTCCGAGACATTGGGGAAAAATTAGCTTTTTTGTTAAATCCACTTGCCTATCTGTTCCCATTCGTCGACTGATGTAGGAAGTCGCATAAATTTTTCACTTAAATTGTTCCATATGCATCTTGAAACTTCTTTAATAATGTTGCTAACAGTCGATACACCAACGCGATAGTGTAATGAAGATCTTAAATGAGCACCCGGATGCTGCATACCTGAAAATAAAATTGATTGTTTAATTATTTGTTTTAGGAAACTTGTTATGAAAAAGTGGTGTCAGATGAGAGATACCTAAGTGAGAACACTAAAAGATTAAAAAGAATTGCACAGACGTCTGGTTCGGCTGTCTCAAACACGATGCCCTACAACTACCATAAATCAGATGCTGTTTTTGAAAAAAGTAGTGTGCTGCTGGTGAAACGCACGAAAGCGTATCTGCTAAACAACCTGAAGAACACACCGAAGATGACACCACGACATCGAATGAACCTACAAACGAAGAGACAGTGTGACTACAATGACACAACTTGACAATGACAGTCCAAAGGAAAGAACTTTTAATGAAATGGATGCCAAACATGATGTCCTACATTGACTATCATATAAAATCGAAGAAAATTGAGCAGGATGATCGCAATTTATCGTTCTTCAAAGGTATTTTGCCGTCCTTGGCTTTGCTTGAAGATGACCAAACTTTGGAACTCTAGTCACGGGTGATAAACTTATTACAAAATATTAAACATAGGAGAGTTGGCCAGTCAACCTATGACTGGTCAGCCTACGCACAAACATCTGGTGCTAGTCACTATCAATCTCAGGGCTATTTTAGCAGACCATAGTGCACTATCGCCAGTACAATCTGTATACAGTGATGCTACGTTAGATCTGTCTGAGTTTTAAAAATAAAAGTACGTACCTTAAAAATATCGCTAGTTTTTCTTCTGGGCAGATACTTTTCCTCCAACGAGTATCTGCTTTTTTAAATCCTTTTCCAATAGTTTAAGAAGTCGTCAAAAGTAGACATTGACGTACGAAAGTAATTGAAAAAATTTCGATTCATCACCTCGTAACTGACTCATAAGTAAACTGTAAGCACCCTCCCTAGATCTGTGGGCCATAAGTGGATGCTGCCAATAACGTCGAATCTTCCTTCTCCGACGATAGTACCAATACAACATGACAACGTTCATCCTTGTAGAATAGCGGCGGTATACTGCGAGTTTTCTGTTCACACATCGCATCCAGTAATGACGGATCCGTTGAACGTTATACGGTGCCTATGTGTGAACAGAGCATAAATTTATAACGTATCCGTTAAACCGTACCAGTAAAACTGACTCCCATGTGTGAACGGGCCGTAAGCAGGAGTTTGTTGGTGACGGTCTTATGAAACACACAAATGGAATGCAGAATCCCTCGGTTTTTTATTCGTAACAGTTGTAGGCTGGAGTAGTGTTGAGAAACATGATCTCACCTCCTAGCTCCCGTGATTAAACGTACGCATGAATTTTGAAGTATACTAAGTGACATATAAATCCGAACACCAGTTTAAATGGTTTTATTTTAATAAAAGTTGGTGAAGTTATTTATCTTACTGTAAATAACAAGTGAACAAATTTTTCAGCCTTATCAGTTGGACATTCCGGTTTTTTTATATGCTTTTTTTTTAATTCACTAACGCTCTACAAATGAATATTTCAGCCGCAGTAAAGAATCAAGTTGGCGGATTTTGGTTCTTGACATCCTTTACGATCGGTTACCATGCCTAGAGTACGGAGACCTGTCCGGTTTCCTCAACTTAGTGAGTGTGGTAGGGGCCGTATAGTGGGACTTCGGAAAGCTGGACTTCTTTTCGAGCAATTGCAGTTAGAGCGCAAAGAAGTGTAGACACTGTGGTTAGGTGTTGTCAGGCATGGCTTCTAGAAAGGGCGTACGCAAAGAGCAAGGGGGCACTGGACGCCGCCGTAGAACAACAGACCGTGAAGATCGCCGCCTAAGGTTATCGGCCTTAAGGGACCGTTTCTCCACTACCAGGTCCATTGCAAATGAATATTTTGCAGAACACGGAAGACCTATTGGCATGCGAAGTGTTTACCGACGAGTGAGAAGTTTTGACTTGTTCTCATACCGGCCACACTGAGTCCTCCCTTTAACTCGAGAACACCGACGTAATCGCCTTGAGAGGTGCAGACAACGGTCACTCTGGGATCAGGAATGGAACAGTATTGTCTTTAGTGACGAGTCTCGATTTTGTTTAGGCATGCACGATGGTCGTGCCAGGGTTAGAAGGCGACGTGGTGAAAGGAGGAATCCACAGTTTTTTGTTGAAAGACATGTTCATCACACTGTTGGAGTTAGTTGTTGTGGTTGGGGTGCTATAGCTTATGGTTCCAGGTCACCTTTAATCTTCATCAGAGGTAACATGAACGCGCAGCGTTATATCCACGAAGTTCTAGAACCCCATCTTTTACCCTATCTTGACACCCTGGCAGATCCAACTTTCCAACAAGATAATGCCCGACCACATGTTGCAAGAGTCACAATAGACTTCTTTCAACATAATGATGTCACATTGTTACCATGGCCATCAAGATCTCCCGACTTATCCCAATTGAGCACGTGTGGGATATGATAGGTAGGAGATTGCTCAATTTGCAACGTCCTCCTCAGACTCTAGAAGCACTTCGAGAGGAGTTGGTGGTTGCCTGGAATGAGATACCACAGGAGGACATTGACCACCTGATCAGAAGCATGCCTAGGCGCGTTGGAGAATG